AAATAAATAAATAAATAAATAAATAAATAAATAAATAAATAAATAAATAAAATTAAGGTTACAAAATAAATCCAAGGCTAGAAAGATGGCTGGGCAAGTAAGAACTATATGAGTTCTGTATCTGGAACCGATGAGATAGATACAGAAAACCAACCACTTCTAAAAATTTTCCTCTGATCTCCACATGTATATCCACACACATACAAATAAAAAATTAATAAATACATGCATGCATACACACAAATAATGGGCTGAAAAGATGGTTGGTCTATCAGTTAAGTGCAAGTACTGCTTTCACAGAGGCCTGCAGTTCAGTTCCCAGCACCTACCCCTTGTGATTCAGAAACCCCCATAACTCATCTCCAGGGGTTGGGTGTTACCCTCTGGCCTTCACTGGAAGCTACACTGGTGTTCACATACCCACACAGAGACACATGCAGCATCTAGGGATATAAGTAGTGACAGAAGACTTGCCTAGACTGTGAAGGTCGTGGGTTCAAGCTCAGTCCCTAGTACTGCGCAAAGGAAAGGGCAGGGTTCTGGAAAGGATGAGGAATCTCTGATTAGTTTATGTGAGGCACAATTTGAACACAGGTCTAGAGTTTCTATATAACCTTCACGTAATACTGCCTAATAGCATAACATGCTATGTCTTTCTGTTGTCCTTCATTCCTGCCCTTCCAATCAACTCTGTGTCTTCTGACCATGGCCTTTCCTCCTAACAATGAGGTCTGAACTTGATGAGTAGAATGCTCATTTCCTGCTCATAAAATCCACTTAAGTTAATGCAGAGTTTTAGCTGTTACTGGGGATAAAACTCAGCCCTTTGCTTAAGCCAGGAAGTCACTCTGTCTCTGAACTTTGCGCCCAGCCATTCTCAGCGCTTTGAAGTATGTTTAGAAACTAGCTAAAACCACGTCCATTGCTGCCAAGGACCTGTAGATGAACCTGGGGAAATGCTTCTGCAGAATCTAGATGACAGAGAAACTACTCTCTTAGAGGACCATGAGTCCATCAGCCCGATGGTCTTTATAACATAGTACCCACAGCCCAGAAAAGAAGCCTGTTGGCTTGGCTTCGTCACTATGTCTGACCTGGTGCTCTTATGCAGCGAAGTTCCTTTCTGCCTAACTGTAATTTTTGGATGTTTTTTGTGTACATTCAAGTTAGGTTCAATTACAGGCGCCAACAAGTTTAAAGTACCAGGAATTTAAATGGCCGTCTGTGTTTCTTTTCTGTAACTGTGATCCAGAGGTTGGCTGGGACTGAAGCTGCTACTGTGTCAGGTTTTTCTCAACTATGCAGTATGCTAATCAATGAAATGGCAGGTTTTGTGAAGGACCAGAAAGTCAGGTGTGTAGAAAGTAACAAGCCAGTCTCAAACTCACCTCCCTAAGTACAGCATTTAGGGATATTTCTAGAAGAAGCCAGGCAGTCTAAGGCACAGGGAAAGGTGATCCCAGATAAGGAAAAGTGGCGTGTAAACGATGCATGCATGATCTGACTCGGTGGCTCTTTCTGGAGTGTAGGCTCAAAACATGATGTTAGGATGCTCTAGAGGTCACCCACCAGATGCTGAGTTGAGAAAAAAGGGTTAGTTCCTATCATTGATTTGAGCTGCTTTCATAGGCTTGAAAAACAATGCAAACTGTTATTACGTGCATAGGAAGGTTAATAGGAATCATTACGTAGTGCTGTGTACCTTCACATCCCTGTGTTGTAGTACCTAGGAAAACGAAAGAGAACGGATGTACTGTGGCTCGTGTTTTCAGAGGTGTCACCCACAGCTACTTGACCCTATTGCTCCTGCTCCTGGGGAGCGTTGAACAAACCAAAATGACTCACTTCCTGCTGGGCAAGAAGCACAAAGAAAGAAAAGGTCGTGGACAGATGGATAAACTCAGCAAAGATGCACTCACTCCCCTAGTGACCTGTTTTCCCCCATCTAAGCCCCACCTCCTCAGAGTCCATTCTGCCCTGAGTTAATCCCTTATAAGGTTATAGGGCTCCTAAAACAGTCAAAAGCCATCAGCTCCCATCTGCTTTTTGATAAGTGAGCCTTCGGAGGATGTTTTTCGATTCAAACCCAGAGTGGGACACAGTATTTAAAATTTGAAACAAAAGTGACAAAAAGTAAGTTTTCCCCTAGGTTTCACCTCTAGGGCACTAACACTTCCACCAGTGGCCCATGGTGGCTGCTCTGCTTCTGGGCTATCATTATCACATTCCCATCTTGCAAAAGAGAGAGAAAAAAGAAAGAAAAAGAAAAGGTGGGGGAAGGGTAGAGCCCTGTCTAAGGATATTTCATAGCAGTTTTATTTCCCACTTCTACCTCCTAGTAACCGCAACATTTGTTTTCTGAAAATTCTTAGTTGCAGGGAAACTGGAACGTGTATTGTGAAATGGAAGAAACTTAACCACCCAGATGACAAGAGAGATACATAATGAGGGATGAGCTGTGTGCACAGTTCTCCCCTGGTTTCACTCTGTTCATTACTAGTATTTAAACTTTAATTTTGCCCAACATCTACAGGAAAAAAGTTTAAGAACCTGCATTATGTTCAAGTAACACAGTAAGTGAACCAAGCACAGTGAATTCACAGGATTGACGGCTGCATTTCAAAGGTAAGATATCTAAATATTGTACATACAAAGGTAAAATTAATAGTCAAGAGCACTGAATAAGGCGAAAATAAAATAAGGCTGTTTGGAAGCCCGCGTATTTCTCAAACATGCTTGTGGTTATTGAAGGGATATTTACAGTGGCAAGAAAAAGACAGAAGAAAACATGGAGCCTTCAGTTGCCTTTCAGTGATGTTTCTCAAGCGTGACTCTTATCTCTTGGACTAAG